ATATTAGCGTTCCCTTTTGCGTTCTCTCGCAAAGATATTTTGCGAGGGAATGCAAAGTTTCTCAAGGGAACGCAAATGTTTTGCGAGAGAACGCAAAAAATCTGACAAATATTTTTTCCTCCCACCCCAAATTTTTTCACTCAATCTGATTTTTTTCCACCACCATGTCCCTTTAGGGGCTCCGTAATGGACATGAATGTTACTTCAAGACACTTGATTTTTTTTTTTTTTTTAATTGTTACTTTTCTAAGCAGTAATACTTGATGTTTACCTGGTGGTTGATAATGGGTAGCTAAAATGGGCATAGACTGTCATTGTCAAATGAACCTGAGCCATCTGTAAAGACTTGTCTTGATTCTTTTGACTTGAGCCTGCAAGTCAAAAGCAGTCTATTCAATAGCAACCTAGCACAGCCTAGACACCCAAGTAAGCACCTGGCTCTGGGTCACCCACAATACCCTAGAAGTGTGGTGTTGAGTTTTGCACAAATTTAAAAATCTTGTTTTGTGTTTCATGTATTACACACAGAACTATTTATATCAACTTGAAGACATCTGAGAGGAGGACTTCACAACCTTGTTTTTGAAATTCATCCCGCTGTCCGGCCCAAAGTCCAGAGTGGGTTAGACTGAATTCACAGATGAACACCTGATTCTAGATTAAATGCAAAATGAATATAACCATACTTACAGTTTACACGCCTAAACACATATCTGTGGGTCTCCCTCGACCCCAACACACAATACATTTGTGTTCAGAGGCCTGTCAGAGCACAAACCATACAAACGTGACACAATCTGTCCATTATTCTACAAACACAGAGTCGCATTTCATTGTATTTACATGTATAATGCAGGAATGTAAGTGTGTGTGAGCTCACTGGAGTTACACACACATTCTTGGCCCAACATATGCTTCATTGAGAGCTCATTCTGACAGTTCTGATCCTCGGATTCAGACCTCACAGCCAGAGGCCACTTCACAAAATAATTACGTTTTCTCATAAGATGGGGTTGATATTCTACTCGTTGTGCTCTATTGTATACTGCACATTTTGGCAAATGTTATCCCATGTGTACAGAAACCGTACATTCTGCGCGCAGTATGCATACTGCATAAACAGTAGGTAGTATGCTAGTATGCTATTCGGCACACAGCCTTAAAGGGGTCATATGATGCTGCTAAAAAGAACATTATTTTGTGTATTTGGTGTAATGAAATGTGTTTATGCGGTTTAAGGTTTAAAAAAACATTATTTTCCACATACTGTACACTATTGTTTCTCCTCTATGCCCCGCCTTTCTGAAATGCGTCGATTTTTACAAAGCTCATCGGTCTGAAAAGCAAGGTGTGCTGTAATTGGCCAGCTATCCAGTGCGTTGTGATTGGCCGAATTCCTCAAGTGTGTGCGAAAATGTTACGCCCCTCACCATATTGTGATGCCTGCGGCAACCACATGTGACGACCCCGGGCTGGACTCCGCTTCGTCCACGGTGAAAGCCGATCCGGCGATCCACAGCGCGAAGTTGATGTATTTCCTCAGCGACAAGCACAGATCAGCTCTAGGCATGACGAAGCGATATCGTCCTCTTTTGGAAGACCAAACAAAGTAGTTTCGCTTTCACAAAGAAAAACACAGCGGCCTAGCGTGAGCG